GTAGAATGAAATTGACTATGTCAGCCACGTAAAGGCCAGGAAACAAAGGTTTTTTTTTTTTTTTTTTTTTTTTTTGACCTCTTTTGATCTCTGGCTGTGTGTGCAGGTACCAGACTGAGCTGTCCCTGCGGCAGCTGGTGGAGTCAGACATCAACAGCCTGCGCAGGATTCTGGATGAGCTGACCCTGTGCAGGTCTGACCTGGAGGCCCAGGTGGAGTCCCTGAAGGAGGAGCTGCTTTCCCTCAAGCAGAACCATGAGCAGGTGAGAGTCCCAGCCCCCACTATCCCAACACTGAGAGCTCCATGACCCGCCTGTGTAGGATAAGGTAAGTCTTCATTTGCTAAGCACCCTAGACCTAACAACATTTTGCTGGTTGCTCAAAATATACTTTGGGGTTTGTTGGGGAATGAATGGTGCTTACCTCTTTTACATAAAGGAGTGTAGTAAGCTGACCTATTTCCTCTTGAGGCCAAATACGTGTGGCTGAAAGATCACACAAATATCTTTAAACTACTGTCTACTGTTTGATGCGATCCATTAGCTTCTGAAGAGGTGCCACGTTAATGACAGAGACTGGAAGGAGACAGAAAACATTCTTATAGTCTGTTTCACCTAGATAACTAGAACTCAGTCTGGGTAAATGGATGGATGGATGAGTGGATGGATGGATGAACTGATGGATGGGGAAAATGGGAGAAATGAAATAAATAATGGTTGATTCAGATCTCATGGTTGAATGCAGTACTAGGAAATCAGATGCATGTCTCAAATATTAGATGTTTTCATAATTAAAACACGTGTCATACTCTAATAGTATCCTATGAAATAAATAGGAATTAAACTTGGTTTCTCTATATTTAAGTAGCAACAATTATAAGCTGATTATCATGTCAGGCTTTTCACTGAGCAAAGGGGAAATAAGAAAGAAATGATAGAATCTTGGATTGGGTAGAAATACTAGCAATCATTTAATGAAGCAGACTTATCATATACAGATGAGAGAAGAAATTCAGAGAAGAGGCCATAAATTTCAGAGGTGACAACTGGGCTTTAATGCATGTTTCCTAATCTGTAATGCAATTTTCTTCCCATTATATTGAACTGCCTCAAAGTTATTTATAGACTTCTCTCTGTGAGTTTATTTCTTACCTTTTCTTCATTAGGAGGTCAACACCCTGCGCTGCCAGCTTGGAGACCGCTTCAATGTGGAGGTGGACGCTGCCCCCGCTGTGGACCTGAACCAGGTCCTGAACCAGACCAGGAGTCAGTATGAGGCCCTGGTGGACACCAACCGCAGGGAAGTGGAGCAATGGTTTGCCACACAGGTGGGCATCTAAGCACGCAGTCACTCAGGACCCGAGGCCCCTAGGGCCCTGGAGGCAGGGTCTGATCCTTTCTCCCCTTGGGTGTTTCAGACCGAGGAGCTGAACAAGCAGGTGGTGTCCAGCTCAGAGCAGCTGCAGTCCTACCAGGCGGAGATCATCGAGCTGAGACGCACGGTCAACGCCCTGGAGATCGAGCTGCAGGCCCAGCACAACCTGGTGTGTATTGTTCAGCCCTGCTGGTGAGTGATGGGATGTTGGGAGGCAGAGTCCCGGGCCTGCCCTTGGGACCACACGCTCTCCTTAGCTCTTGGAGCTGTGACTTCCTTGGAATCCTATGAAGAAAGGCTTTGAAGGAACAGCTCTCTGACATTCCTGATCCTCCCCACCACAGCGAAACTCTCTGGAAAACACGCTGACAGAGAGCGAGGCCCGCTACAGCTCCCAGCTGTCCCAGGTGCAGAGTCTGATCAGCAATGTGGAGTCCCAGCTGGCGGAGATCCGCTGTGACCTGGAGCGGCAGAACCAGGAGTACCAGGTGCTGCTGGACGTGCGTGCCCGGCTGGAGTGTGAGATCAACACATACCGGAGCCTGCTGGAGAGCGAGGACTGCAAGTGAGTACCTAGTAGGTGGCATCCCTGCAAGGCATATGCACAGTTCTACTATAGGATAAAATGGGGACTTCAAAGATCAAGTTTCAGATGCCTGTCTGTCTGTAGAGGCCAGAGTTTTATATTACAGCTGTGGGAAGTACAGGATATTTGTTGCTAACATTACCTGGGCTAAAGATATTTTTTTTCAAAAGATAGTCAGTGGACCTGACTGCTTCCTCCAGTAGAGATTTTTTGGATGCTGATGTGCAAATCAAGCTTTCTGTCTTCAGGAGTGTCTTGTCACCATAAAAAAGAAAACAAAACTGTAACAATCATCACTCTTTCTGATTTAAACAGAACTTTCAAATCCACTGTTTCCTTAATTTTTGTTAGTGTCATTATCACCGTCTTCTAGATGAGCGTTTGAGTGTCAATAGGGATGACGATCAATAACTAACAGAGGATAGCAGTTGCCAGCGAACATAATATTTTTATGAACACAATCTTGTGGAGTTTTCATAGTTCTGTGGGATTGGTTCTATCAGTACTACCTTACAGGTGGGGAAGCTGAGGCTTAGAAGGAGGAATTGACTTCCTTGTGTGCCCAGGGTCATAGAAAGAAGGCTGGGATTCCACCTTGCATGTTCTTTGCTCATTTCTGCCACTGTATCTCAGCTCTGTAGAAAGAGTGATCCAAACTAAGGCAGGGCTTCCTAGGACATCAGAGAACGGGTTCAGCTTGTTTCCGTGTCTCCCTGGGTTGAGCCTCCCTTGTTTTAATCACAGTTCTCATGCTGACGGTCTAATGCTTCCGTATCCCAGGCTGCCCTCCAACCCCTGCGCCACCACTAATGCATGTGAAAAGCCTATTGGATCCTGCGTCACCAATTCTTGTTGTCCTCGGTCCCGCTGCGGGCCCTGCAACACCTTTGGGTGCTAGATACCCTGGGACCAGCAGGAGTACAGCATGAAGACACAACTACCATTGGCCGGTCAGTTCTGCCTCTCTGATGACCATCAGCCACTGGACCTCACCCTGAGGCATCATCATCAATCAGGGTCTGGAGGGAGAACAAATGCCCTGCATTTGGGCCTGACTCTGAGTGGAGGCCCAGCTGATCCTCCTTACCCCAGGCCTCTCTCCTGTAGTCAGTTTGTGTTCTGATGGTCTGAGAGTTTGGAGCTGTCACAGTCCCATACGAGGTGTTTTGTTCTTTCTGCTGTTCTACCTTTATTGCAGTTCCCCAAATCACCTAATAAACTTTCCTCTTGCAAAGCAGACATGATTCTCATTTGTATTCATTCTTTTCAAAGTGTTGACTCTCTGTGTGTGTCTTATAAGGCCACTTGAAAGCAGAAGGAGGACTTTATAGGTTAATCATCTCCTAAAAGGTCTTCATCACCTTTATTAACATTCATTAAGCACAATGAGTCCTAGCATCCACTCAGGCCAGTGTAAAACAGGTGGGTTCACTAAGACGAGAGGCCTCATCTGAATATGATAAACGTATTTCTCCTGGGACCTTACTTAGTAAAATGCAACGGTTAACATCTCCAGGCAGTTTCACTTTTTCTTTGAAGTCCCTACCAGAGGATGACAGAAGTTAACATTTATTGAACACCTACCAAATACCAGGAATTGTACAACTACTCACAGTGGGGAAGGAGCAATGGGAGGACTGAATCCAGAGTTCACTCTCCGCTTGTCAGTTACACAGGAGGTGTGGCTATGAGACAGTGAAACTAATTTCACACAAGCACCCAGAGCTCATACATCCTCCTGGGGAGACACAATGTTATCAGTGCTCAAAGCATCTCTGAAACCTTCCTTTGTGAAATACTGAATAACTCAAAGGTAAAAAGCACCATCTTGCCATCTTCCATATTTGAGCAATACCCAACCTATTTTTAAAGTGTTTCTTTTCTCACTTGAATTGTTTAACCAGGGGAACTACATATGTATTTTGGGACCCTCACCCACAAAGTTATTTAGAATCAGATTAGGATATTACAAGTCAGGTGCCTGCAAATGCTAACAGTGACCATGGTGCGGGTGCCCGGCTCCTACTGCTGCCCTCTGACGTCTAACCAAGGTTAATGGCTCCCATCACGGTGTGTGCTGTGCTTTGTGCCAAGGCCACTCCCTGAGTCCGCAGATTGTCCCCAGATAACCAACCTGCTAATTATGTCTTCTTTCCTTGAGATGATGCTGATATTATCTCCCCTGCTGTGGGTTGAAGCCGTATATTGTCACATCTCAGTCTTAAATTCTTAAAAAAATTTTAATTTTTTTGAAGACAGAGTCTCACTCTGTCACCCCAGCTGGAATGCAGCGGCACAGTCATGGCTCACTGAAGCCTTGAACTCCCCAGGCTCAGGCTATCCTCCCACCTCAGCCCCTTGAGTAGATGGGACTACAGGCACGCACCACCACACATGGCTAATTTTTGTATTATTTGTAGAGACAGGGTTTTGCCGGATTATCCATGCTGGTTTTGAACTCCTGGGTTACAGTGATCCGCCCATCTCAGCCTCCCACATTGCTGGGATTATAGGTGTGAGCCGCTGTGCCTGGCCAGTCTTAAATTCTTGTGGTCTCATATTCTAGTTCATTTAGTGTTTCCTCCTTTGTTATTGATGTCCTGCAGCTTAGGCAGGAGACCTTGAAAGATCATCTGAGTGGCACTCCATGCTGTGCTCAGCATATCTTAGACCCAGTGTGTGGACTCTAACCTCTCTTTCCTCAGGGTGAGTTCATTCCCAGGAGCCACCTCCATGCTTCATGCAAATCACCCTTGTTCAGTTTATCTTGGCAGTTCTCCACACTGCTGGCATCACTGTCCACTGATAGTTACCTCTCAGCTGCCTTCACCAGGAACAGTACCTCCCAAATACCCTGTTACATGCTTTGTGAGTGAAATCTCAAAGTCCCCAACACAGTAAATACACTTTGTTCTTAGTGTTCAATGTATAAAATATTAAGCAAAACTTGTATCTACGTTTGATGGCGTTGTGTCAGTGGTAAACATGGGTCTAGGGAAAGCAGTCCTTAGTTCTTATCTCTGCCATGGTGCTTTCCTTGGAGGATAAGAGAAAGGAGTGTCAGGGAGATCACTTTTTCTCAGGACAAAGGCAAATTGGGAAGGGTCAGTGTTACCACCGAGAAATAAAACTAAAATCCTAAGTCCCCAGTTGACAGAATGGACACTGTCTTGGCCAAGGGGACCAAAGGGAAACCTTAAAAACAGAGTCACATGTATGTTTATTGCAGCACTTTCACAATAGCAAAGATTTGGCACCAACCCAAATGCCCATCAGCAGTAGACTGGAGAAAGAAAATGTGGCACATATACACGATGGAATACTATGCAGCCACAAAAAGGATGAGTTCATGTTCTTTGCAGGGACATGGATGAAGCTAGAAACCATCATTCTCAGTGAACTAACACAGGAGCAGAAAACCAAACACTGCATGTTCTTATTCATAAGTGGGAGTTGAACAATGAGAACACATGGACACAGGGAGGGGGACATCACACACTGGGGCCTGTCTGGCAGTGGGGGGCTAGGGAGGTATAGCATTAGGAGAAATACCTAATGTAGATGATGGGTTGATAGGCGTAGCAAACCACCATGGCATGTGAATACCTATATAACAGACCTTCACGTTCTGCACATGTATCCTAGAGCTTAAAGCAGAATTAAAAAAAAAAAAAAAAAAAAAAAAGAAAGGAAAAAGAAGAAAAAAAGAGTCCCTGACCAAGACAGGATGGGAGGTCAGACATGCCTCAGTATGCCCCTTCCTTATTAACCTTTAACCAGAATTCTTTCCTAAGGAGTAAGCAGAAACCAGCTCCGGAAAATAAGAAACAGATGAATCCTTCCTTCAGCCAATCATCTGAAGCTGTGACCGGATTCGTCCTCCCTTTTGCAGTTTCAACACAAGAACCCACCAGCGTTCCTTCCTGATAAGGGACCACCAACCATGGAGTGGCTCTGACCAGTCTACAGAGGATGTGCCGTGAGGGTTTTCCCATCCCCTGCCTTACCTTTTGACATCAGACGGACAAAAACCCCATCCTTGGGTCATGCTATTGCCACCATTTTTGAACATGTGACCCATGAAGAGGCATGAAGCTCAACTGCACATGCTTACATTTGTCTTTTCATAATCATGACTCCCCTTATAGCTTAATAAATAGTACACTTGGCCACCTAGCTCAGCATACATTCCTTTCTCACATTTTCCCCCTTCAAGCTGCTTACTCTTGGCTTCTGCCAGAGGCTACGTTTCCCAGCTTGCAGGATGGCCAACCTGGAGTCTCCAGCCTTTTATGAGAAATAAAGCTCTCTCTTCCAACTTTATGAATCTTGTGATTTTTCAGTTGGCACTACTCAGCTTCCTGACCTGGCAAGATACACTGGCTGTAAAATTCACCACGATATTATTACAGTCTGTGATCAGCCATCTAGTGTGACAAGGCAATGCTGCTGATGAAATGTGGGTACAATACTAGCTTGTCTCACTTTGTAATTTTAAAATTTCTAGTGAAATTAAACATTTAAAAATGTTTTTATTGGTCATTCATGTTTCTTCTCTACAAATTCAATTCAATTCAACATATAATCATTGAGTGCTTATGATGGTGCCGGTTGGGCAGAGCAGTGAACAAAGCAAAGACCTGCTCTAAGAAGCTTACTTTCAAGTGGGAGGAGACACACAATAAAAAGGGCAAACAAGCATGACCACGTCAAGCAATAAGTGCTGAGAGGAAAGGTAAGCAAGGGAAGAGAACAGGAGGCGGAAACTTTTGGATAAGGTGGTCAGGGCACTCTAGTCTGATGAGGAGAAATAGGGTTTAATCTATTTACATTTCATTTTATTACTGACTTTTGGGGCTTATTTAAAAAACCTTACTTTGTGCTTTCTATTAAGCATGATTTTTTTTCTTTGCTTATTGTTTCCTCACTTCCTGACACCTGTGGATTGATGTTTTCTTTGTTCTTCCTTTAAATATGCATTCTTAATTTTTAAATGTGCACACTTGATTTAGCACTCTCTAATTTAATCTCTTTCTTCTTGCATAAAAAACAAGGCCCACAGGAGGTGTTTTTGTTTTTTGTTTTTAGGAGGCGGGGTCTGGCGGTGTTACTCGGGCTGGAGTGCAGTGGTATAATCACAGCTGATACAGTTTGGATGTTGTCCCTGCCCAAGTCTCATGCTGAATTGTAATCCCTAATGTTGGAGATGGGGCCTGGTGGGAGGTGATTGAATCATGGGGGCAGTTTCTCATGAACGGCTTAATACCATCCCCTTCTGCACTGTCGTCGCAACGATGAGTGACTTCTCACAAGATCTGGTTGTTTAAAAGAGAGTAGCACCTCCCCCACTCCCCCACTCCTTCTCCCACCATGTGAGAAACCTCACTCCACCTTTGCCTTCCATCATGACTGGAAGCTTCCTGAGGCCTTCACAGAAGCAGAAGCCTCTATGCTTCCTGTGCAGCCTGCACAACTGTGAGGCAATTAAACTTCTTTTCTTTGCAAATTATCTATTCTCAGGTATTTCTTTGTAGCAGCGTGAGATTGGAGTAATACAAGGGCCTAAGGCAGCCTTAATCTCCCAGCCTCAAGCCTCCGAAGTAGCTGGGACCACACATGCATGCCACCATGTCTGGCTAGTTTTTTACTTTTTATTTTTGTAGAGACAAGGTCTCCCTATATTGCTTAGGCTGGTCTTGAACTCCTGGGCTCAAGTGATTCTCTGTGTTGGCCTCTCAAAGTGTAGGGATTGCAGGTGTGAGCCACTGTGCCCTGTCAGAAATTTTTATGTTATTTACTTTAAGCTTTACCTTGGTTTATTGATTGATTGATTGATTGACAGGATCTTGATCTGTTATCCAGGGTAGAGTGCAGTGGTAGGATCATAGATCACTGCAGCTTCAACTTCCTGGGCTAAAGCTATCCCCTTGTTGCAGCCTTTCAAGTAATTGGGACTATAAGCACATGCCACTATGCCTAGCTAATTAACTTTTTTTTTTTTTTTTTTTTGTAGAGATGAGGGTCTTTCTATGATGCCCAGGCTGGTCTTGAACTCCTGGGCTCAAGCAATCCTCTCACCTTGGCCTCTAAAAGTGCTAGGATTATAGATGTGAATCACCACGTCCAGCCTTTCCTTATTTTTATGCTCCAAAATTTGGTCATTATTATTATTTAGAATTACCTACATTTTTACCAGTGTATTTGTTTCTTGGACTTTATTCCTCCTTTCCGCTTTTA